GAACTTCCCGCTGAACTGTTCACGAACGGTTCGCTAAACGTTCGGTTCGTTTACAGCCCTATCGGTACTATAAAAACCATATTTTTTATAATTATTTTTAGATGTATATTATACTATATTAACTATATGGTCCACCGTTTGAAAAAATTTCTGGGTCCGTCCCTGGAACCAAACCAAACAAAACCAAATCTCAAACTCACCTTCAGGTTCTGCTCACCTCCATCCACATCAATCTTGCCAGGTCTAAGAGCCTCGTATTCCTTTACATTAACCCAAGCAACTGTCCCAAAACCTCCAATAAAATATATATCACTGCTTCAAACAAACATACAACACTAAGTTAAGGCCTGTCTCTCAATCTTCATGTCATTGTACAAAATCAAACCTTATATTCTGCATCCTAAAGTAGTAAAAGTTTCCCCATTGCTGCGAAGGCCCCTGTTGATGTTTTGCTATATACTGCTTATGAGCCCATTCCTACAAGACAAAACCACAATCAAATTCTTTTTGCAAGAAAGAATGGCCCAAATCATCACACAAACATATCTACTCCTACACCTTAATATTTTAATAAACAACCTGTTGATCTTCCGGAAGGGGAAAAACATCTCCAAAAATAGTAACTCTTGCATTTGATAAGCCATTCCATCCAGGTATCTACAAAGACARCTTTTAAAAGTAAGGTATCTACATCCAACTCAAAAGATGATTAATTTGTGCAACAAAGCATACTAACCTGCACCACCAATGTACACMTTGGGTCAGCTAACCTGTTATATATCAATGAAGCTAAAATCATCACAAAAACAGTCCTGCTAGATGCCAAATCAGTTACTATACGAACATGATGATAATATTAAAATTTATAAAAGGCATGTTCAAGATGGTAAAATAAGTTTAACAAAAAAACATTCAATGAGTATTGACCAGGTGGTGCAACATATGTTATCTTTCACATGGCATCAGGAGGTAGAGCAATGTGATGTTCCACTAAACTGTTCTCAAACACAGTCTGTAGGGAAGTGAGAAGAGAAGTTAACAATTTAGGGGAAATAAAGATTATGGATACAGATGAACAGGCGAAAACTTTTTTAAGTTTGTAAATAATAGGGATGTTATGACTTACAGCATACAGATCTCCACCTGTTACAAGATCTCCCTYGCCTGACATCAGAAAACAGATTGAAATTAACAAAATTTCCATAACAGAAACAGCTTCAGACTTCGGAACATAAGGATCCACAATTTTCTAGAGTTCAGGGGTGTACAGAGATTTCACGACCCATCCTTAAGATATTTAGAAAAACTGGCACCACCAGGCTACAAACCMACTGAAAAGAGGATAATGTATAATCACCTAGTTTTTTAGGCTGGAATTCCCAGAGTATATCCTTGTCAAGAGCTGGGACAGATACACCACAAGGAATGTAGACATCACCTGATCTTTTTGCAATAGTCTTAAGAGGCCTCTGAATCATGGGTTGAGAAATAAAAGAAACTACAGTTGGTAACTCTTGAAGAAGGAAAAGCAAATATAACACAAATATGGTTGAAACAAAAATACAGCAAACAGGAGTTTGTGAACCTGGATACCATCAAATATATTCCCCAATATTCGATCATCTCTGGACGGTGATGTGGACTCTTACAGTCAGAATCCATCTTGAAATCACAAAGCTAAGAAAGTGAAGCAAGGGAAGATGGGAATTGTGGTGGAGGAGAGCAAGATGGAGACTGGGGAGACGTGGAGGAGATGACCATGTTTTTGAAGCTTTGATTTTGAATTTTGAATTTTGAATTTTGAATTTTGAATTTTGAATTTTGAATTTTGAATTTTGAATTTGAAATGGGAAAGTAAAAGTTGAAGAAAGTGAAGACTCTGATGGAAAGAGGAAAGGAAAGCTGGAAAGGGAAGAAGAAGAGAGGAGAAGAGAAAAAGCAAGGTCTGCTAATAAACTCAATGCATAAAAACCTTGTACCACATGGAAAGAGTTTTTTTTAAATCTTGCACAAAATGGTTGTAACTTGTGCATAAAGAGTTGTATTTAAGACTTTGTCTTAAATGCTTATATATGTAGTATAGATGTAGACTTCCCTTTTCAACCTAAAGCAGTTTAGAAACTATTAATAACAATTTGGAAAAACAATTGTTTTTATTTCACAAGTCTTGGGCAATAATTGCCCCTCATTGACCAACACTATGGCTGATGACCCTTCCTCATTAGACAACACATTCAATCCGGAGAACACTTTTAAAAGGTAAACATACCTACCAGTCACACTACATCAGTTAACAACCTCAACGGTCAAAAAGAAGATATGACAAGAGTGTGTTCTTCTTGGGTATATGTCTTAGAATTAGAGAGAAATCTTAACTTGCTTATATCACAGCGTTTTATGAGTGAAAAGAGCACTCAAATGTTTATACCCATTGCATTAAATGCAATTCAGAAAAGGCAGAAGAACCATTGTCATATAGTGAAAGTGCAATGCCTTCGAAGCCGTGTCAAGCATTTACAGGAAAGCTTGTCCTTTGGTACCGTGAATAGTACTTTTGTCTATTCATGAGCAGACATCTTTTCATGGAGTTGGTAAGCACTAGAGTCGACTAATCAGCTCCGTGTAGTATGATACTCTTGAGAGGCTATGGGTTTGTCCTTTGTGTGTGGAAGGACAACACAAAAACAATCGTGCATGGAAAGTTTCTTGGGTGTAGTATGATATTGAATGTTGGAATAACGCTCGAGGTCTCTTCAGCATTCACTGTGGCTTGTGCAGTCTTCACACATATGTTGACCAGGTTCTAATCACTGAATACCGCTTCAGATCATGAATGCATTAGTAACTAATCTTCAGTTTTAGTCTTCGACATTTGTTGAAGGTTCTTTGGTGTGAGTTTTATATTCTTGAAGTATAGTTGTCACTGTAGGATTACAATACATGTTTCAACGATCACTGAAAAGACACAGTAATGATAACTGGAACTGAATAGACAGAAACATAATACTTAGATAGGTAAAATAGATTATCATCACATCAATGAGAGAGAGGATCAACAATCTCCCCCTATTTGATGATGACAAAGCAACATAAAGAAAATTGCTTTAAGTTATAATAACAAGGAAAAGTTACACGTATAGTACATGTCCCTCTTAACTATTTTGGGATCTTTTTCAGTGATACAGTTTTTACTATATAATTTTTCCTAAGGTACATGTTTGTGAAAAAGTACAAGACGGAAAACTGAAACAGAAAGCCTGTTCACTAATTGAAGTTTATCAATGAATGCAAGAGCATACTATAACTCATAGACATATATCCTTATTACTTTTTTCAGGGATCTTTTTCAGTGATACTATTGAAATACTTGTATTATTCAAAAGCAGAAATACATGTGTTACAATAGTACATTCTACACTTATTACATATAATTTGTACACTGAAAGAAAAGACATAGAAACATAGGATTTACAGGAAAAGATAAGATTTACAAGACAGAAAGTTCTAACTAATCTAAGTCGATGAAGTCGATGTAACCAGGTACATCTTCTTCAAACAACTTTCGACGTAGAAATTCTTTTCTGATCTTGCGGTCTATCATCTCACCATAAAGGTCATTATCCAACCAATATCTTAGATAATCTAGATGTTCTATAGGACAGAGACGGAGCTCAGACACTCTTTAAAAGCTGTGTTTGCCATCATAATCAACAAATATGAGTCCAAACCCAGGCTTTAGGTGCACAAAGTAGGGTGTGTAAGGACCCTTCGCTGGCAAAGATAGGTTAAGCATAGAGATGTCCAGCTTCTTCGAATCCTTTAGGACTTCCTCCAGGGAGAACTTTGTTTCATATTTGTTCCTCAGATTTGGTCAGTCATTAGGATCAGAATGATTTCTTCTTCCACCTTGCTTCAACGTTGGCTTTGTAGGTACAACAACAAATTTGGACATCTTCTTGATCAGCGTGCTGAGGATGTCTTCAATTATTGGCTTGTGCCTTGACTTTGTGCGCTGAATGGCCTGACGGATTTCCAGCAATTCGTTGTAGACTTATTGTCCAAGGTAGGAAGAATACTCGATGACAGAGTCAAGGTTGTCTGTGATGATGTGCATGGAGATAATCATTCCACCATCTTTCTTACGACAACCGATTGTGACGTTTGTGATGCGACGGGGACTAATTCTTTTATTAAGGCATTCTTCACTCCATTTCTTGTTTCGATCATTCAACTTCATTGTTGTTTGACGTTCAGATTCTACAATTAAGACCAATTTAGCTTGGGCCTTGACAACATTCACCATCTTTTAAGACATTTTATTCGAAAGAACTTGAGAAGCTAGAGACTTGGCCAACTTGAGGTTGTCCCCAGTCTGTTGCCGTTGAATTTGGATTACTTCACCAGCCTTGAGTGCTTCGAGTCTTTCAGCTTCTATAAGGAAGTCGAACTCACCACAACTAGAGGTACAAAGAAGAATTTTTCTAGTTTTATCAAGTGACTACTTAAGATGAGTCATTTGTTGGTCGCTATGAACACTAGAAGTTGAGTTTTTAGATACCTATTCAACTAGACAACCACAGGTGGTAGAAGGAATAGTATATGAGATTTGATAGAGAGAATTGACAACAGCAAACCAGGAGGGTTCAACATATCCTTGAGGATTCATGGGCTTGAAGAGAACTTTCAGGTTTCCTTCTTCAACAACACCTTTGTCTATGAAGGAGGTGTTCTGGTCCTTTGTAGATGTTTATTTCTCTTTCTCCTTCTCCTACTCCCCCTTGAGAGAATATTCTCTAAGAGAGAATCCTTTTAGAGAGGTAGTTGGTTTGGTGTGGTATTGAATAGTGAAGTCGTCATCATCATCGTCTTTATCATCGTCTTTATCATCATCAGCAGCAAGAACTTTTCCAATATCAAGAAAGGACAGAGGATGATCACCTTCATCGTCATCTTCATCGTCTTCATTTTCATCTTTCTTATCACCAGCATTAGTTGCAGAGGTGATAAGAAGATCTTCGTTTTAAGCATTTGTTCTGACGGCATCATCAATTTCCTCAGCTTCAGCAAAACATCTTCCGTTTCATGGGAATTGATGGCATCTGCAAATTCAGCAACAATTTCATTTTCTTCAGCTCTTTCATCTTGTGCATCAACATCAGCTGCTGTTGTAGGGACAACAGCAGCAACTAAGTCTTTCTCCCTCTCTTTGTCATCAGCAAACTAAGAGGTGAGATCATCATGACTTCTTGATGTTCAGATTCTGCAATTGAGAGCAATTTAGCTTGACTCTTGACAGTATTCACCATCTTTTTAGACATTTTCTTGGGAAGAACTAGAGAAGCTAGAGACTTGGTCAGCTTGAGGCGGTACTCAGGTTTTTATCGTTCAATTTGGATTTCTTCCTTAGCCTTGAGTGCTTCAAGCCTTTCAGCTTTTGTAAGGAAGTCGAACTCACCACAACTAGAGGTAGAAAAAGGAATTTATACTCGAGTTTGGTTGAGTGATTCCTAAATATGAGTATTCTGTTGGTAGCTAGGAACACTAGAAGTTGGGTTTTCGGATACCCATTCAACTAGACAACCACAGGTGGTAGAGGAAATAGTATATGAGAATTGATAGAGAGAACTGACAACAACAAACCTGGAGGGTTCAGCATATCCTTGAGGATTGATAGGCTTGAAGAGAACTTTCAGGTTTCGATCTTCAGCAACACCTTTCTCTTTGGACGAGGTGTTTTGGTTCTTTGTAGATGTCTCTTTTTCTTTCTCCTTCTCCTTCTCCCCCTGGGAAGAAGATTCTCTAAAAGAAACGCCTTTTAGAGAGGTAGTTGGTTTGTTGTGGTATTGAATAGTGAAGTCGTCATCATCATCGTCTTTATCATCACCAGCAGCAAGACCTTTTCCAGCATCAGGAAAGGACAGAGGATGATCACCTTCATCGTCATCTTCATGGTCTTCATTTTCGTCTCCCTTATCACCAGCACTAGTTGTAGAGGTGATAGGAATGTCTTCATTTTGAGCTTCAAGCTCGAACGGCATCATCAATTTCCTCAGCTTCAGCAACAACTTCAGCTTCATGCAAATTGATGGCATCTTTAACTTCAACAACAGCTTCATTTGCTTCAGCTCTTTCATCTTGAGCATCAACATCGGCTGGTGTTGTAAGGATAGTAGCAACTAAGTCTTTCTCCCCCTCTTTTCAACAGTAGACTGAGAGGTGAGATCATCAAGACTTTTTTATCTTCAGATTCTGCAATTGAGAGCAATTTAGCTTGGGCCTTGATAGTATTCACAATTTTTTTATACATTTTCTTTGAAAGAACTTGAGAAGCGAGAGACTTGGCAAGCATGAGGCTGTTCTCAGTCTGTTGTCATTGAATCTGGATTTCTTCCTCAGCCTTGAGTTCTTCGAGTCTTTCAGCTTCTGTAAAGAAGTCGAACTCACCACAACTAGAGGTACGAAGAGGAATTTTTAATCTAGTTTGGTCGAGTGACTCCTTAAGATGAGTTATCTGTTGGTCGCTAGGAACACTAGAAGCTGGGTTTTCAGATACCCATTCAACTAGAAAACCATAAGTGGTAGAAGGAATAGAAGAAGAAAAAAGATAGAGAGAAGTGACGACAGGAAACCTGGAGGGTTCAACATATCCTTGAGGATCGATAGGCTTGAAGAGAACTTTCTAGTTTCCTTCTTCAGCAACACCTTTGTCTTCGAAGGAGGTGTTTTGGTTCTTTGTAGATGTCTCTTTCTCTTTCTCGTTCTCCTTCTACCCCTGGGATGAATTTTCTCAAAGAGAGCCTCCTTTTAGAGAGGTAGTTGGTTTGGTGTGGTATTAAATATCGAAGTCGTCATCATCCTCATCTTTATCATCCTCAGTAGCAAGAGCTTTTCCAGCATCAAGAAAGGATAGACGATCATCATATTCATCGTCATCTTCATCATCTTCATTTTCATCTTCCTTATCACCAACATTAGTTGTAGAGGTGATAGGAATGTCTTCATTTTGAGCATCAACTCTAGCAGCATCATCAATTTCTTCAGCTTCAGCAACAACGTCTGCTTCATGGTAATCGATGGCATCTACAACTTCAGCAACAGCTTCACTTGCTTCAGCTATTTCATCTTGAGCATAAACATCAACTGTGTTGTAAGGATAGCGGTAGCTATGTCTTTCTCCCCCTCTTTGTCATCAGCAAACTGAGAGGTGAGATCATCAAGACTTTTTGAAGTTCAGATTCTGCAATTGAGAGCAATTGAGCTTGGGCCTTGACAACATTCACCATCTTTTTAGACATTTTCTAGGAAACAACTTAAGAAGCAAGTCGCTTGGCTAGCTTGTGGCTGTTCTCAGTCTGTTGTCGTTGATTTTGGATTTCTTCCTCAGCCTTGAGTGCTTCGAGTCTTTCAGCTTCTGTAAGGATGTCGAACTCACCACAACTAGAGGTACGAAGAAGAATTTTTAATCTAGTTTGGTCGAGTGACTACATAAGATGAGTCATATGTTGGTCGTTAGGAATACTAGAAGTTAGGTTTTCAGATACCCATTCAACTAAACAACCACCGGTGGTAGAAGGGATAGTAGAAGAAAATTGAAAGAGAGAACTGACAACAACAAACTTGGAGTGTTTAGCATATCCTTGAGGATTGATTGGCTTGAAGAGAACTTTAAGGTTTCCTTCTTCGGCAACACCTTTGTGTTAGGATCGATTAACATATTTCTTATATTAACCCAATACTCTAAATGATCTATATGACAAACACAGTGCAGCAAAAACAAAGTAAGAATCAAATAGAGCAATGAATCAAGAACAATGAAGAACGAGCAGACAATGAATATTAAGAACACACGAGAGAAGCTTCAATTGTATTTCAATTGAATTGAAAATGAACGATTACAATACTAGAAGCACACTTAATTACAAAGGCCTAAGCTGCTATTTATACTCATTCCTAACGGCTTTTCTGACAAGACCTAGACGTACAAATTAATCTAAGCCATTCAAATAAAGCGGATTACAAACAGTCACGTGATAAGCACGAGCAGCTAACTAACCTAAGTAAAACATTAAAGAAGTTCTTCACAGAAGATAAGACTGCAGACCTTCTGTGAGCCATCCTAGAGGCTCTGCTGGATTTGACTTGAGAGCACTTGAATCCAGAGGATTATCTTCCAGAACCTCTGTGATAGACAACAGAGGTCCTGTCATCTTTGACTTGTAAGATTTGAATAGAGAGGACCAGTTTCCAGAACCTCTGTGGTAGATAACAGAGGTTCTGTCACACTTCACTTGTACGATAGAACACCTTCTGTTGTTGGTCCTCTGTGGTCTTCGGTGGTGGAACCTCTTCTGTCAACACGTACAGAATTTACTTTTTTCATACTTTTACATTAAGTGAAATGAAAGCAAACAATCTCCCCCTAAGTATGAAAAAGTAAAACTGGAAAGAGCAATAAATGACTTAATTGAAAGAAATTACAGAAGGAGATAAAAGTTCATCCTCTGAAAAGAATTACATAATGAAATTACAAAATTGTGAAACAGGCCTAAAACTGGTACAGAAGGTTTATCAAACGACAGATTCTGGAAAATCATCTACTGCGTATAGCATATCAGACTTGATTGTTCTGTAGACGTTGAAGATCCATTCTCTGAAGTTGATTTGCATTTTGATCGCCTCCAAGATGCGAGACACTTCGCTTATCCTTAGATTTCCTTTGTCCACCTCTGTCGCTGCCCTTCTGAAAATCCATTCTAGTGTCTCTGTTGAGTACTTGTGAGATTCTGTTGGATCATAGAACCTTAGGATATCATCCTTATCCAAATACACAAACCCAAAAGTAGGGTTGTGAATAATGGAGTTTGGATGATACCTAAGTATCCAACYAGGCCTGCTGTAAGGAGGGGAGATCTTCAGATCTTTTTGGACTAAGCTGACCGCTAGCTCAAAGTCCTTTTGGCTGTAATATCTTACTTGTGCGCGTATGACCTCAAACAGCCTTCTGAGCGACATTGAGTAGCTTGACCTCCTCTCCATGTAGATGTTGAGAATTTTGTGCATGTAGATGACATCAAACACACAGAGGTTATGGAGGTCAGCGTCTGTGAATGTATACAGGTTGCCATCTTCCCTTCTTACTACGTACTGAGCATAGAGCACCTTCTTCTTTAGCATCGTCCTTGGAAAGATTATCTCTAGGGAGGTGATTATGTGCTCTGAGAAGACTTGCTCACGAGGCCTTGTGAGTTTAGTGAACTGGAACTTGGCTGCGGCAGAAGGGATCCCTGTGAACTCTGGATCATAGGGAGGCTCTGTGTCTACTGCAGAGTACCTCCACACTTGAATTTCTTCCAAAGTATTAACGGGCTCTGTTCTGACTTTAGGCGTTGGAATCTTGCTCATAGATTCGAATATTTAGATACCCTTCCTACCGTGGTGGACTCTGGCACCTTGGCTTCTTCTTCCTCTAGAATTAGCCTCTGGGTTGACCCCTCTGCAAGGATGGGTTTGACGGTTCCTTGCAGAGCGTCAAACGTACCCGTGGACGTTTCTTGGACTGGTGGGAGATGTGATGAAGGGCCKTCTCYTTCTTTGTGAGGGATGGGGCCTCTGCCCTTCTTGGCTTGAGCCTCTGCCAGGGATGCCTTTAAAGCTTCCAGGAGCGCTAGGTCATCTCTGTAATCTTCTTCGTTTATTGGCTTTGGAGTCTCTGTACTAGACGACGACCCCTTCTGTGGTGACTCTACAGCAATGCCTTTACCTTTGCCTTTGGGCTTTGGTGCCTTTTCCTTGCCTTTTGAGAACAAGACAGCTGTAGAGTCCACGATCTTGACGCCTCTGGCAGGAGTCTTCTTTGGCTCTGGTTTCTTCTCAGCCTTCTTCTCCCCCTCATGACGATCACGATCATCACCTTCTTGATCGTCATGGTTCGTTTTGGCTTCTGCCTTGCATGTATCCAGGGGAGCTTTCTCCAACCTCTCTAAAATTTTGGTGGTCGCCTTCTCCATCTTCTTTATTGCCTCATTTGCAAGCTCAGAGGCATGATTGATGTCTATCTCTGTTGACCACTTCAATTTGGAGACGCTTCTGTAGATCTCGCTTCTGAAGAGGTCACCCTTTTTCACGAGTTATGATGGGCAGTCTCTGATCGCTGTATTGGAGGCACGGACCTCTTTGAGAAGACGGTCTGTATGCTTGCACACTAGATTACCCAGAGCTTCGACCATGGCGTCAATCTCTCTGCGGGTAGCAAGGTGATTGATGTTGGCCCTTGAGGACTTGGTATCAATACCGTATGTTACCGTAGAGGAGAACATCTGCTTGATTTCDTCTTTGAGAGAGGAGTAATCCGTGTAGCCTGTAGAGATGAAGTCGGTAGAGAATTGGGCGGCCATCTCTGAATGTTCTGTCTTCAAGGTTTGGATGGAGGAGGGGTTGAGTCATAGAGCTTTGAACGCCTCTGAGAGATCCTCATTCTGTAGGACAGAGCTCTGAAGAATTGAAAGAGTAGACTTGAGTTTTGATGTGGTTGCTCTCAACTCCTTCAGAGTCTCTGTTATCGGTGAGAGGTCTTCTGCTATCGATCGGGAGATAAACAAGCTTTTCAACTCATTTATCTTATTGAATATCTCTGTGGCAAAGGTTTTAAACTCCCCCTTTGTCACATACATATCCTGGGAACCTAAACCACCAACACATGGTGATTTAGTAGCCTCGAAGCGTGAGGCGCCCTCAGCGACTGGTATTGCATAGTCTGCTCGGGGACTTCCACCAGATCCTCGAACATCTCCCAAAGGAGAGCCTACTRGTGTTCTGTAGATTTCGTGCCTTGTAGGTTCAAAGCCTAGCATGGTAGAGTGATCTAGTAAGGACAGAGGGTGTTCTAGACCCTCTGTCTCTGTGTGCCTCACTTGTGCCTCTGAAGCACATTTTGGGTGGTCACTCTTGTGTGATGAAGCAACGAATGCTTCTATGGGGTATGTCGAGTCTTTGGGCGAAAGGACTCTTCTATTAAAACCTTCATCCTTTTGAGAGGATGGAGGAGTATTTTGTGGTTGCCCGGCTGTGCGATCCACAGAGGACGAAAGAGTGTCCTCTGCGTGGGTAGGCTGGTTAGGGTTCGGCATGTGCGTGCCTTGTTCAATAGGGGATCCCTCTAGAACAGGGCCCCTAGAAACATGGGATGCATAGGGAGGTGGGCTAGGTTGTGTGCCTTCGGCATCTTTTTCACCCTCACCTATTTCTTCTTCTTCTTCTTCTTTGTCGTCTAAGACGACTTATGTCCACAACTTTGATATGTCGATTGGCACTCTGAACTCCTTTTGGATATTGACGAGAACAACCTCTATTTCTTCTATTGGGAAAACTTCGAGAACAACTTTGCGCAACCTTCTGTTCTTTTGAGTAGTTGCCTCTGTCGGGCTCTCTTGTGTTGAGGCCTCTATGATCACAGGCTCTGTGACCACAGGCTCTGTTGGTTGAGCCTTCTTTGTTTTCTTCTTCTTTGTCTTGGGCAGAGGTCCACTTGGGCCTTCTTCTTCTGCAGGCCTCTTCTTCTCTTTCTTCTTTGTCACAGGAGAGTCGACACCCTTCTGTGTCTTCTTGGCCTTCTTGGTTGGGGGACTTGGGATTCTAGGGGCTTCCTCACTCAACTTTCCAGCCTCTGCAGGCTCCTCCGTTCTTCCCTCAACTCTCATTTTTTCAATCTTTTCTCCTAGAGGGACTCCTATGCGTGGTGGGGTCTCAGGGACCGGTTCTGGTCGCCTGAATCCACTTCTGTAAGCTTTTATGTCTTCATGGCTTAGGAACCTGAGCATGGCTCTTGATAACGGCCTAGGGCTTCTGTACCCTTGCTCATGCTTAGTGGGGTGAAACTCCTTGAACGGGTAGAGCTTTGCATTTGGCTCCACAGAGGGGAGCTTCGCTGCTAGTAAGTCACCAAAAATCAGACCAAGGAAACGTTGAAGGATGAGGTTGGGTTGGTTCATGTCCTCCTTGGCTTTTTTCTGTGCTTTGACCTTCGATTTCTCGCCCCTCAGACTCGCGCACTTTTTCTTGATTAGGCCGACCATATCTTCGAAAATCAGATTAGCTTAATCCAAGGGAAGGTTGAAATATATCCC